TTTCGATGTCGATTTGTTTTGTGATGCCTCATATGTAGGCTTTGGTGAATTGGGTTTCACGTATGATAGATAAAAGTAGGGATGTCAACGAGTACTCGAGTATTCGAGTATTGCTCGGTATTACCGAGTATCGAATACTAAAACGATACTCGACTGATCGGCTTTCGGTTAGAATATTGATGTTTTCTTTATATAAAACTGATCTTCTTGAGAACATCTTTCGGAATATTAAATAGGCATCACTGATTAATCACACTAGTAAATAAAATACATTTTGTTTCGAATGCTTGTGCTAAAATGTCATTTAAAATGTCTCCGAAAATACGTGGTCTATACATAGGCTAACACTTTAAACTTAACATGTCTTAGCCATTCCGTCACATCGGTACCGTCAGAGCAAATATTTTCGTCTGCAAGACTGTAATTTACAAAGTTGCAAAACCGACTGTCCTCAATAATAGTTGACAAGCAAATCTTTCCAAATGAAATAAACTCGTTGCATCCTCTGGTGATCCTCAGTGAATAGTTAAACTTCTAATCCTACTCCTTTGTAAACATTAAATGTGTTTTCTCTTCAGAGTGCTCTTCAGCTTTGTGCTTGTTTTGGCTTTCAAACTTTTTTTATCTGAGCGTCACTGGTTGGTCTTGTGTGGACGAGACGCACGTCTGGCGTATTGAATTTTAAGCCTAGTACCTTCTGCTAGCTATTATTCGTGTGTTTCTTTGTCCTATATGTTCTCCCATTTATTTGTATTGTGGTCCTGTCATGTGATGTTGTCGTTTTGGTGTTGTGTTTGACGTTGCCATAAAAGCGGGAGGTTTGGCATGCCACAAAACCAGGTTCAACCCATCATTTTTTTCTTAAAATGTCCTGTACCAAGTCAGGAAAATGGCCATTGTTATATTATAGTTCGTTTCTGTGTGTGTTACATTTTAATGTTGTGTTGTTGTTGTGTCGTTGTTCTCCTCTTATATTTGATGCGTTTCCCTCAGTTTTAGTTTGTAACCCGGATTTGTTTTTATCTCTATCGATTTATGAGTTTCGAACAGCGGTATACTACGGTTGCCTTTATTTTTCTTAACGATTACCAAATACTATTGTTTGATATGGTTTTTCCTTGTTATAATTTTTAGATAGGTGTTCATTAAATTATATTAATTATATTATTGTTTTTTTTTTTTTTTTTACTTAATTAGCACTTGTAGGTAATGAGCTATTAATTATGTTGTGTAATTCCTTGTCCCAGATACTTACGCATATGGTTTTTCGTCCGTTGAACAACAAACCACAGAATGTAAAATACGTATTTTTGTGTATCCGTGTTGTAGAAATATTCCCGAGCGAGTACTCGAGTATCGCTCGATAAAACCAACGAGTACTCGATTAGTAATTGTTCATCGAGTTGACATCCCTAGATAAAAGTAAAATAACAAAAATACCGAACTCAGAGGAAAATTCAAAACGGAAAGTCCGTAATCAAATGGCAAAATCAAAAGCTCAAACACATCAAGCGAAGTACTTTGTAACTAGGTAACAAATGCACCTTTTTAGAGTTCAACTTGCCGTGAACTTTAATGCGTCAAGAGAGTTTTGTATACTCAAGATTCATTGTTAGAGAACAAATTAGTTCGAGTTAACAGCGACTGTCAGCATATTGCACGTATTTTGACGGTTGGTAGCAGAAATTTGATACTGCAAAAAACTGCGATTAATATTCTAGAGTCTTGTGAACAGAAAAACATTTCTATTCAGATTCGCTGGGTCCCTAGGAATCAGAATGAGTACGTAGATCCGTTAAGTCGGTATACAGATGACAATGACTGGTTTTTAAACAATGAAACAATTCCCTAATGACAGCAGTGCTGAATATCAATTATAAGAATTAAATTTAGCATTATATGTTTTCAACCATTCGCTCAACATAGGAACGGAAGTGACGACGCCCCTAAACGCACGAATGATGTTAACTAAAACTAAAGTTTTTGATGGAAATGCAACGAACTCGAAAGTTGTCTATTGCAAAAACAGTTGTCACGTACCGGGGGTACGCAACTGCTTTACTCTGGGTTTCGTATCAGAGTCGATTCTCTGTATACAACCTAGGATTAACAATTGGTAACGTTGATTTAATAAATTGGATATTCGGTTACTCTATACCTAGACGATGGGCGTCATGATTCAGTAAGGTTTGGGTTGTTAGACGATAGGTGCCAAGGATGAAAAAATTTACTTTAATGACGTCCCTTTTTTGTATAATTCTTTACTTAATATCAAGGCAGTTATCTAACTTCCTTAGCCTAAAAGCCACGGTTTTCTAACTATGTACTGAGCCACTGCATTACTTGTGGTCACTGCTTATTAAACTACTTTGTCTGAGTCACTGTTTTACTTGTAACCAATGCTTCACCTTCTATAAATGCTTCATCTTGTAGCCAATGTTACTACCTGATGCAACTGCTTCTTCAGTAGCTATACACTTATACACTTGGTTCCTTATCCAGGAACACTGCTTACAATTCTTATTCAGAATTATTCTTTATCTCAGCTTTAGTCAGTAGAATGTACTCAACTTGACGTCTCGAATTATAAACTAAGAACAACCTAAACTATGAAAACCTTGGTTTATATACTAAATTGTAGACTCGTCCATACAATAGACTCGTCCAGAACGACTTTATCCCTAAAACGGCGTTTTCGGAAAACGGCCACTTAAATTTAGGTTTATCGCTTTAAATATTATATTCTAATGATTTATATTAGCGATTTTCAGGTTTAGGACTGAAGCAACATGTTGTGCATATTATAGATAAGAGTGGTGTGTGATGTACGGGTGAACTTGAGAATTCAGCAGAAAAGATGTCCGTTTATCTAATTCAGTCTAGAAATGACAATACTGCGAAAAAGTACTTTGCCAGTTACAATCGTAATTTGATTCACGTTTCACTGTATTTAACATTCTGATTGACAGAAAGTAATATCCTTGTTCTTTAGACTCGATAATTTATCCGTTAAAGGACGTACGTGGTTACGTTGATCCTACAAGTAACTCTTACATTAATTCGTTATCTCATCATGTAAAAGATTGAATGGTAAACCAGTTGTTAAGAAAGTCCCTGTTAGCTCAAATATGATACCTGAATTATGTAAGATTTATGAATTTAAAAATGACTTGCTTATTGTAAGAGATTTAACTATGATTTTGATAGGTTATGCTTGATTTTTGCGTTATGATGAATTAAGTTTTATTATATGTTAAGATTTATGGTGATCATATTTCTGCCCGATCCAAGACCGTTCAATACAGACAAGGTAACTGATTTCTAGAGGGGACATTTTGGCATGTTCAGTCGTTATGTATCAGCGAAACATTTCACTTGCTGGTTTAGATGTCAATTGATTTTTTTTCATATTTCGACCTATTTTTAGGTTCAAATTGAAATATAAGAACATAGATAATATAGATATAAATAAGAAGTTAAGCTATACAGCATAAATAATATAAATATAAATAAGAAGTTAGGCTACACTGCCGCAAAAGAGAATGTTGTATTTAGATTGAAAACTTTAGCTCCTGACTTTTACCTAGGTTTGCATTCGTTACGTTCTGGTGGTACTTTGAGAAGTAAACGAGAGATGTATTAAACTTCATGGAAGATGGAAATCAGATATAAGCAAAGATGGTAACATTGCTGATTCCCTAGATATGAGTTTAGTATGTATCAGTATCTAGAAAACTTGGTTTATAATTGGGACTTTTTTCATCCCTTTCTTTGTGATTTCTAGTTAAGGTTGGACAGTTGGCAAATTTATATTTGTTCATTATATCATTTATTGTATTGGGATAAATGGCAATGAGATTGCATTTGTAAAGTGTATGCCAGTATAAACATTCACGTTCAAGGCTGTGGTTTTATGTTTACTTTCAGTTTTACGAGTCATTGACCAATTATAACAATACCCTATTAGTGAATACATTTCAAATTGTCTATCTACAAATATAACAATACAATTATAGCGATTCATATTGAAGTACAGTAGACTGATATAGAAAAATAATGTATACCAATATCAAATTGTTTATAATAATGACATGTGTTTTGTAGTATTTAAAAATATAAATTAAATGTAGTTACATGTATCAACACCCGGCTCTTTGGATCTACAAAACGCATATAACACTTTAAACATTTATACATATAAAAAGAATAATCATTTAACGGTGGATAAAATAAGAATTTAAGTTTGATTGTTCCTATATAAAAAAAAATCTCATATTAATCGCATATGGAAAACAAATTCAGCATTTTGTCTAGGATATTTGCAAACAAACACTTCTTTAAATTGTATATCTTTAGAGAAAACTTCAAAAAGTGTTCTAGATTCAATTTACTTGAATTCTTAAATTTCGGTAAAAAAATGGTCGATCAGAAAGTGGCGTTCATTTTCAACACAGTTTGAGTCACCCATTTTGCAAATACGATCAACTTCTGCTTCTCCAACGAACCGTCCTGTTTCAATCCTCATCTAAACTGTGTCAGTATTGAACGTTCAGCATGAGTAATGTTCAATACAACATAGGTTTCAGATTTACATTCTGATTTGAATGTTTCATATGTCAGCAATTTTGGAAAGTTTGTAATATAGCTTTCCTATTCAGTGGAACAAAACATATGATGTCTGTCTTTTACTATAAAAAAGATCCCAAATCTGTTTTCGGTCGAAATAGTCTCCATATGTTTCACATCTGATGACAAATTGTTCAAACAACGTTCAAGTCCCAGTTAAAAACGTGTTTACATAGCGCGAATCGTTCATTCCGACAAGCTTATTCAAAAGTCTGATTATATTGTACAAGTATCTTTCTTTACATGATAGCCATTAAACATCACCATTTGTAGCAACTTTCAGGGCAAATTTGTGAACACTCAAGCAGTTACGAATGGCTTTGTTTTGAACGAAATTAACGCATGTATAGTCTTTATATCCCCGTAAACAGTCGTTATAATCTTAAATTGGTACGATAAAAGATGTATACAGTTTTTCAAATGTCTTTATTACAAATTTTTTTAAGAATATGAGTTTTTAAATTGATTCCACTGAGTGCTCGCCCTTCATCTTCCGGCAACCTTTCAACATTCACTTTATAGTCTTTAATTTCATGGAACATTACACTTAGGTATTTGTACTAATCGACAGTCTGTAATGAATTTCCTCCAATTCTTAACTTATATATTCGGATCGATTTATACGAAATGGGCGGAAATGAACTACTTTGAATTTCTCAGTGTTAATAAGGACCCTCCAGCGTTAACACCAGTCATGGACTTTGTTCAGCATCGCTTGCATGTCATTTTCATTAGATGAAATTGACGCTATTTCGTCAGAATATGACAGCATAAATAAATTTGAGTTTTAATATGCTAACAACAAGGTCAAGATCCTTAAATTCCTGTACTAAGTCATTGATAAAAGTAGAGAATGGTGTGGATGAAAGATTGTCGCCTTGTCGAACATCGGAATTACAACTAAACCAATCCTTCAATTTACCATTCAATCGAATACAAGCAGTGGTATTGCCGTAAATGTTTTTGATAGAATTATAAATCTTCCCATCGATTTTATTTAAAAGAAACTATTAAGTACAGTAGCATATTTCTATGAATAAAATCAGACGCCTTCATCAAATCTATAAATGTAGCAAAAGTTTTTGGACAGTTCCTCATAATGTATTTAGTGTGAACATATGGTCTTCATATAAACGGTTCTCACAAAATCCATTCTGTTCGTCTTCTCATATTTTTTTTCTCTGAATCGATTTATGACTTTCGAACAGCGGTATACTACTGTTGCCTTTATTTATTTCTAAATATCCGGATAGTCGACTGTTAATAAACGCGCTATACAGTTTCGAGATGCAAGAAAGCAGAATTATTCCACGATAGTCAAGGTCAAGAGGACTTCGCTTATCTGATGATTTGTCTTTAAGAATGGGACATATTTTCGCCCGTCTCCAGATTGATGGAATAATGCTAGTTCAAATATAAACTGAAACAGGGAATGAAGCACGGTTACCACAGATTAGTATATCAAAACTTCATACGGTATGATATCGATTCAACATGCTTTGCCCTTAATTGCCACATGTATTAATCGTCTGATTTCGTCGATACGTGTAAGTATTGTTGTATGCAGTTCCTGGCTTACCTCGTATAACGGCTCAAGCATACGGTCTTCTAAAGAAGAATTATGTGATAATACTTGAATATGTAAATCGTCTTTAAATTTTGCCGTATTTTTGTCCATATTATAAATATTATTTTCCGACTGTTTGATAACTATTCGAAAACTAAGGAACAATTAACAAAGTTAATTGAGTCCTTGTACTTTCGTGTCAATAAGCGTAATTGTCGTTAATTAGTTAAACTTTTTACACTATTTACTTTATTAAGCATACGATTTAGCATATTGTACATTGGTTCTGTCTTTGTTTTAAAATTTGTACAACTTTGGCATGATTTTCTCTTTGAGCAATATCCAGTGGTGTCATTCCGTTATGTCTAATGTTTCGGGCGTTTTTATTTAAAAGCAATTCAACAATCTTTGTATGACCTTTAAAGCAAGCTATAAACATGGGAGATACTCCAGAGTTATTACATTTATTAATGTCTGTTTTATTGCTTATTAACATTTGAACTATGTCAGAATGCCCTTCCTGACAAGCAATGAAGAGAGGAGATTCGTCTTTTTTGTTGCACTTATTTATGTCTGCCTTATTGCATATTAACATTTTAACAACTTCAGTATGCCCTTTATGACACGCAATGAACAGAGGTGTCACTTCGTTAGAATCACACTTGTTAATGTCTGCGCTTTTGTCGATCAACATCTTTACTACTTCTGTATTTCCTTTCCAACAAGCAATGTACAGAGGTGATACTTTCTCATTATTACACTTATCGAAGTCTGCTTTATTGTTTATCAACATATTTACTACTTCAGCATGCCCTTCTTGACACGCACGGAACAGAGGTGATACTTCATTAGTATTATACGTGTTAACGTCTGCGTTTTTGTCGATCAACATCTTTACTACTTTTGTATTTCCTTTCCAACAAGCAATGGACAGAGGTGATACATTTTCATCGTTACACTTATCAATGTCTGCATTATTAATAAGTAACGTCTTTACTACTTCGTTATGCCCATTCAAACAAGCACTAAACAGAGGTGGTACTTCTTGATCATTACACTTATTGATGTCTGCCTTATTATTTATTAATATCTTTACTACTTCAGTATGCCCTTTTGAACAAGCTTTGTACAGGGGTGATGACCCAGTTGTTTCACACTTATTTATGTTTGCTTTATTGTTAATGAGCATCTTAACTGCTTCAATATTTCCTTCCATAGAAGCAATAGAAAGAGGTGAGATCCCGTCGTTATCACATTTATTAATGTTTGCCTTATTGTTTATTAACATCTTCACCACTTTAGCAATCCCTTTAAAACAGGAAGCGTATAGCGGCGATACTCCCGTATTCGAACACTTGTTGATATTAGCCCGTTTGTTTATTAACATTTGAACTATTGTACTGTGTCCCTCCTGGCAGGCAATGAGCAGAGGTGATACTTCGTTATTATCACACTTTTGGACGTCTGCTTTATTGTGTATTAACATCTTAACTACTTCAGTATTTCCTTTCAAACAAGCCGCATGCAGTATCGATGATCCAGTATTTGTACATTTATTTATGTCTGCCTTTTGTTTTATCAATGTTTGAACTATTTCAGTATGACCTTCACGACATGCAATGAACAGAGGCGATATTTCGTCATAATTACTTTTCTTGATGTCTGCCTTATATTTAAGTAACATCTTTACTATTTCCCTATGTCCGTTCCAACAAGCAATGTGTAGAGGCGATGCTCCTAACTCTCCACCCTTATTAATTTCTGCCTTTTTGTCAAGTAATATCTGCACAGCTGCAACATGTTTATTTTCACAAGCAATATAAAGTGGAGATTTACACGTATCTGTATTTATGACTGCTTTATTATTTATTAACATTTGAACTATTTCTTTGTAGCCTTTTTCACAGGCAATGTATAGTGGTGATATTCCAGCATCTGTACCCTTATTTGTGTCTGCCTTATATTTTATTAACATTTCAACTTCTTCGATATGTCCATTCTCACAAGCGGTGCACAAAGGCGAGAATCCGTCGTTGTTACACTTATTTAAATCTGCTTTATTTATAAGAAGCATCTGAACTATTTCAGTATGTGCTTTCAAACAAGCAATGTGCAAAGGCGAATTTCCTGATTCTCCACATTTATTAATGTCTGCCTTATTGTTTATTAATATCTGAACTACATCAGTGTGTTTATTATGACAAGCAACGTAAAGAGGCGATTCTCCAGTATCAATACACTTATTAATGACGGCTTTATTATCTATTAAAATTCGAACTATTTCTGTGTAGCCTTTTTCACAAGCAACAAGTAATGGTGATGCTTCAGTATGTGAACATTTATTAATTTCTGCGTCATAGTCTATTAACAACTGAACTACTTCTGTATGTCTATTATGACAAGCCATGAACAGAGGTGATATTCCATCACTATTACACTTATTAATGTTAGCTTTATTGTTTATTAACATCTGAACTATGTTAGTGTGTCCTTTCTCACACGCAATGTATACTATTGATACTTCTTTATCATTAATATGATTAATGTCTGCCTTATGGTTTATTAACATATGTACTACATTAGTATGTCCATACTGACAAGCAAGGAACAGGGGTGATATTCCAGTATCTGTAGACTTATTTAAGTTTGCCTTTTTGTTTAATAACATCTCAACCACATCTATATAGCCTCCCTGGCAAGCTATATGTATAGCCGTGGCGCTATCACCTTTCCGATAACAGTTTACATTACTAATACAATGATGCAAACACCATTCAACAAGATCAATATTTCCAACGGAACAACATCCCATTAATGAACTACCATTGTTGCTTGTATCACGTGTACACGCTAATCTTTTCTGTTGTGATGTTTCTAAATCTTTAACATGAGCTAGGAACCTTTGCCTAAAAACAGAATTGTCCATATTGATGTTATAAAAGACATCTATTACATTTCCGTTTGACCAGTCAACTATCATTCTCTTTATATACATTTGCTGATACCTTTCTGGTACAATTATTGAGAACTCCTCACTCTTGATGTTTTTTTCAAATAAAAACCTTTCACGAATGAAACGACTTGTAGCATTATCAATCAAACAAGCAATCATCACATTCCCAAAGTAAAATGAAAGAAAATCAAACAGTTTGTCATGAATAATTTGGTACACTTCCTCGTCCTTTCTGATGAATGTATCTGTAATTGAATCAAGCTCATCTCGAATAATCAGTCGTGACGTTCCTTCCATCATTTTACAAGCTTCACATGTGTTCCTGATAATTTTTTTTATATCTCTATCGACATCTTCTGTAAGCCATTCTGCTTTCAAATTATTGTTAAACATTACACATAGTGCTACAGCACAATATTTTCCATATGCTCCCTCGGACTGTAACTTATCTATCTCTTCTTTGAAAACTGTAAACGGATTTTTAAAAAAATCTACGATGGGCACTTTCATGTTTTTGCTGTACAACTGACACAATAGAGGAAAACAGTCAAAAATATCATAAAATTCAGTGATCTTAGAAGCGTCCTTTTTTAGGTAAAGTTCAGCAATAGATTTTTTTTCTGTTTTCGATAAACACAGATTTTTAGACAAAAGATTACATTCACAGGACTGCAAAAATGTCAAGGATTTTAAATGATCATCCTTATAAACTTGTAGTCTACAAGTTAAAATTATTTTAACTAATTTCTGCTGAACTAATGTTTTGATTTTGTCCATTTGATTTTTCCATTTTTCATATTTTATTAGATTTAAAGTATATGTTCCACAAAAATCATCCACAACAAATAAAATTTTCCTATTTGGATTGAACCACTTGGTAATTTTGTTTGGTTTTAATACGGGTAAGATTTCATAGCCTTCCGCTTCCATTTCTAGAGCTACGTGGCGCACAAGCAATGATTTTCCCATGCCAGAAGTTCCGGTGACAATAACACAACCATTTTCCTTGATACAATTCAATACTATTTTTGCTCCATTTGTTTTTATAAAAAATTTGTCATTTTCTTTCCAGATTTTTAATTCCTGTTTAACTTGCTCTAAAAAAGAAAAGGTTTACATTCAGATAGAACTTACTATTTCTATGTTGAACAGTGCAATCAAATACCTAGTTCCGTTATATTGACAAAACAAACTGATGGAATCGTATGAACTCCAAAAGGGGCATGACCAGGTTAGTCGACAGAGTAAGCGTCTCTTGGGAATCAACACTTAGTTAAAAAGTAAAAAAAACACTAATTAATGTGGTTCAACTGAAATGAACACTTATTGGAATACAACATGAATATTTCAATTGGCGAACATATGATAGAAAGTTGATTGAAAGATTTTTCTCTCCTCTCTCACGAATAGAGGATTAAATGCACTATTTAGATATATCCTAGTGTATACAATAACTTAGACCTGCTGTAAGGATATATATCATTGTCACTATTTTGAAATTGCAAGAGAAATCAATATTATGGCAATTTTCACTAAAAATGTCTATGTTTATCAACGTGGTTGTTTATAGATATGAAGCAATTTAACCGGAAGGAGACTTTTATCACGTAGGACATCCGCTTAGAAATCGAATATAAAATTTTACAAAGGAACCACTAAATCCTTAAAGCTTTGATCCTATAATGGTCCAATAGCTTGATCTTAAATTAATTTAAAAAAAATAATTCAAAGATGTTACTTATGGTAACTTGAGAATGGTCTGAGTCTTAACATATTGCAATATAAAAATAAATCAAGATCAGGTGGCCTCTTACAGATTGACAAGTGCACCAGATATAGATTCTTTATACCAAATATCAACTGGAGGCTATGCACACGGGACTCTTGTATGCCGAACATGAATTCTGTAGTCAAAGCATGCAGTCAAATTGGGCTTTTTTTTCAATAAATAATAAAAAATCCGGCTAAATTGTGTTTTAAATTCTTCTTCATTAATTTTCAATTTGAAACAATAACTTTGTATAAGTTATCTTATTATCGAAGGAATAAAACTAGTTGAAATTTTTATAATTATTTTAAAATAAATGACAGTTAAATGGCTTTTGCTATCATAAAATGCTCCTACCTTATTCGAAAATAGATACATAATCCCTAGTAGACAATTTCAATAAAAGGCGGTAAAAACAACATCGAGTAAGGGGTAAGATGTTGTCTAAAACAATGAATATTAGTTTTTTTTAAATGTCTTGTATATTGTTATCAAATGGTGGCGATATTGATGATTGTGTGTCCTGGAATAACACTTTTCTATTTGAAACATTGCGGTCAATTTCTACCAATTTGCAGCTTCAATATGAATTGTATGTGAACATAATATCATGACCAAAAATCTACAAGGGACGTAGAAACTATAATCAGCGTTGATTACAACCGCCTGATTGTGCATGGCATGATGATGCTGACACCCGGTTTAAATTATGCCTGTGACTCATTGTGGGGAAGATGCATTGCCTTTGATTAATCACCAATGGCTCCAACTGCGTCAATTGGTTTAGGCAATGCAATGTATTGTGTCTCCCAATTGCTCTTGTTCATTGTCTCTATACCAATATAGACTCGCTTGTCATGAGACCTTGGCATCGTTTACAATGAACATATATAAAGGCAACAGTAGTATACCGCTGTTCATAAATCGGTTAAGGGAGAAAAAAATCCCGGTTACAAACTAAAACCGAGGAAGACACATCAATTATAAGAGGAAAACAATGGAACAACAGAAACACTGAAGTGCAACAAAAACAAAACCAACATACATAGAAACGAACTATTTGATAACAACTGCCATATTCCTGACTTGGTACAGGACATTGTAAGAAAAAATGGTGGGTTGAACCTGGTTTTATGGTTAGCCAAACCTCCCGCTTATATGGCAATGTTAAAAGATATTAATAATAAAAACATAATAGATACCAGAATTACAATTTTCTGTGCCAGACGCCCGTTTCGTCTAATAAAAAGTCTCATCAGTGACGCTCGAATCAAAAGTTAAACAGGCCAATTAAAGGACGAAGTTAAAAGGCATTGAGGACTCACAATTCAATAAGGTTTTGCCAAATACAGCTAAGGTTATCTATTCCTAGGGTATACAATCCTTCGTATTTCTGAGAGAGTTGTTAGCAAAAAGCCCGAAATGTCGTATTCAACAGCCCATCAACTAGAAAAATAACTTCAGGTTACTGATTTTTGCAGATAAGTTTAATATTCCCAATGCGCCTCAAATTGAGGAACTAAAAAAATAGTGCGTAACCAAACATCTCTGTGCAGTTATATTGGACATGTTTCAATATTAACAAGTGACTGAGCTTAACAATTTGTGCTGGTTTGGGGAGCAGAGAACCGTAAAATAAAGGTTTTATTTGGTGTTATTGAATGTATGCAACGAACTAATTTTTTTAAAGAACTTTTGTTTTGTGAAAAAAGGGAAGCTTGAGAAGCTGCAATACAAAAGGCTTTTCACGGTGTTCGAAATTACGGGAAAATGAATCTCACTTCGTACCCCGAAAATTTAACCACATATGTGAAATGTCTTAGCTTCGAAACGAGCAATGATTTATTACTAAATTTACGATATGGGCAGATGATTTGAGGAAAAGGCTACAATTACTACCAAACAGAGATGAATTGCGCATCTTGACCCACTTGGGGACTATGCCAGAAAATTGATAAAGGGCGAATCAGATGACCTAAACTGGACATTCTATTTAAATGGATCAAAATCTAACAAAATACTGAACACAAAGTTAGTTTCAACCAACGGAACTGTCATTATTCGAGAATTGTTTCGTATCCATAAAGGGAGTCCCTCAAATAAACGACCATGATACGGAGGATCACCTTGCAACTAAAAATAGCCATGTGACCATATTCCTTAACTTTTAAAATCAACAGGCTTCTAACTCTCACTGTACTGAATGTATATATCAAGTGTGGTGAAGATCGGTTGAGAATCAGCTGCACTTTTTATGTCATTAGATGTGCTACGAATGGACAATTCCGTTACAATTTTCCCTCCGAAACTCTCCGAAACGAGTAAGTCGCTGAAAGGCAGCACAGCCTTAAATGAAAGACTCCCACATCTAAAGTCATCTAAATGTAGTAGAAATTGATTCGGTTATGAAATGATTGATATGAATGAAATGATGCAGCATTTTTTACTTGAAGGTTTATACAATGCAATGGCAAATGTGGTATAAAAAATGTATTGTACATTATTTGAGAAAGGGAGAGGCGTGGCGAAAGATACCAAAGGGACATTCAAACTCATAAGTCGAAAAAAAAACAACTGAGAACAGTACACAAAACACAAAATAAAAAACTAAAGACACGAACCCCACCAAAAACTGCGGGGGATCTCAGGTGCTCCGGAAGGGTAAGCAGATCCTGCTGAGAAAGAGCAGGAAAGTTCCGGTTTTTTTTAGTAATTAGTCTTATACCGTTAAATTAAATATGTATGTGTTGTGTTATTCTTTTTAATGTTTATACGATCTATCCATTTTACCTTGTAAACTGTAGGTGTTTTTAGTCGATATTGAGAGTTGTTGAAAACATATATATTGACGAAAAGGGCAACCTTTTTCATTAATAGTAAAACAACCTTCCTTTATTATAATTTTATATTATATTTATAGTACCATCGTTGTCCATTTAGATTGGTATCGATGTCACAAAACATGAGTTCTTTGAAGAAAAAATGAAGGCAAAATTTCCTTCAATTGCGAATCTGTATTTATTAAAAAGTAAAATAACAAAAATAACAGCAATTTTGATAAAGTGAAAAGAACAAAACATTTTCACTTTATAAACAATGGCTACATATTGATATACTCCTAAAGAAACCAATAATCTTGAACGAAACTTTGGTTTTATTCATTTAAGAGGAATAAATGTTTTAGTTGTAAGTTGTTTTTAGAAATTGAGATGTGACAAAACCCCAAAAGATGACACAGCTGGGAAATCAGTTGAAACTTCGTCCTAGTACTGCAATGCGTCTGACAGCATATACCTCATTTCAAACCAAACTTTGGCATGCTTCCTGTTTTGCAAAACCACCCCTGCCTTCAACTTTGGAATACGGATGGAGATCAGTCAAAGATTCCTAGTATCCTGTCTACTTTGAAGAAAGCATGTCAGCATATTTTCTTCATGATCTCGTGTGTTTGTGTAAGGGGATATTACAATGTGAAAAGTATTGTGTTTGTGTCGACCAAACCCTTGCATGTACCAACTGATAGTCCTGCCAAGATTCAGAATACTCATACACTAACAATAGAAGTTTAAGGACTAAATTATATTTGTCAGTAAAGCTTTTGGTGCGATTTGCTATGGTGCATTTCTGTAATTGGATCACTAAGACCTGTTTCCACGCGGTAAAATGCGGTTCCAGTAATCCAAAATGTTTATTACAGTTTTTTGTATATTCCGTACTGACTTGTGTTCCTTGTTATGCATTCTATTACATACAAAAATTCTTTTAAACCCACATATCAATATGTTTTGAGAGAGTTTTATTATAGAGCTTCTTACAATTTGACGAAAGGTTCGTACGCTTGACGAATCATACGAAAGACCCGTTTGAGGGATCATTTATCTTGACTTTTGAATTCGTTTTTATGTTCTAAGTAATATATTAATATGACACTCTCCAAAAATACTAAAATTGAAAAAACGGGGCTCGTTTAATCATTCAGATGTTCAAATGTATAATACATGTAATTGAACAAAACCAGATCCATAATAAGATGATATATAATTAGACCAAAAGGGCAGATTTAGAAGCATGTGTTTTATCATATTTATAGCTGTCTTTTACAAAAAACAGAATATTTTTGTTTTATTAATTTTTTTCAACTTTGCCACATAAGGGGAGATAACTCAGATATTAAAGGGGGTGGGGGGAAACTCAGATAAAGTAATTTTTATAATAGGATGTGTTGTGAATTTACCTA